GTAAAAACATTAGCTCTATAGGTGTGGGGGATAAGTTAGCAAATTGTATGGAAGAGTGGCTGGATGGAAGAAAGCAGAGGGTTGTTATAAATGGAGTTCAGTTAAACTGGATTAATGCTAGTCTTAGTCTTAGGACCTTTGCTCTTTTTGATTTACATCAATGACATAGATAAAGGAATAGTCAATAAGTTACTTAACTTTGCAGATGATATTAGGGTCTTGGGTGTTGCTAGATGTGAAGAGGATACTGCTGATTTACAAAAGAATTTAGATCATTCAGTGAGTTGGGCACATAAATGGCAGATGATTTTTAATTATAATAAAAGCAAGATAATGCATGTGAGTTATCATAATTTGAATTATAAGTATAATTTGGATGGGAATAACCTTAATAGTGTTATGAGGGAAAGAGATCTTGGTGTAATAGTTGACCAATCTCTAAAGCCATCCAAGCAATGTGCTGTTGCTAGTGGCAGGGCAAATAGGATTTTAGGTTGTATCTACAGGAATATAGAATACAAGTCTAAAGAGGTTATAATTTCATTGTATAGGTCACTGGTTAGACCACATTTGGGATATTGTGTTCAGTATTGGGCTCCTTACCTTAGGAAAGACATTGAATTGTTGGAAAGGGTTCTGAGAAGGATTACTAGAATGGTGCCTGGGATGGAGGGGGTTATCATATGAGGAGAGGTTGAAATATCTAAAATTGTTTTCTATTTAAAAAAGAAGAACTAGGGGGATCTGATTGAGGTGTTTAAGATTGTAAAGGGAATTGAAAGTGTTGATTCATCTTTTTTTTTCATATTTAACAGTGAGAATAGTAGGACTCGGGGGACACAAATATAAATTTTGAGAAGGTAGGAGTCATCTTCAGCAAAGAGAGTTTAATTTTTCTAACATGGTGGTTGGTTTGGAATGGGTTACCTTCATATGTTGTAGAGGCAGTAAATTTAAGCAAGTTTAAGAAAAAGCTTGATAAGTATATGAATGATAAGGGCTGTCTTTAAGATTTTTATTATTATTTTTTAGTTATTTTAATTTAGTTTAGAGGATGGAAACAATAGGTCCCATGTTGTCCCAAAACATTATGTTGTATTATATAGGTGATTAAGGCATTAAAACAGTAACAAAATGCCTTCAATGTTTTATTCAAACAATGTTGTAATCTGCTATCTTAATATTATATATTTTTGACTGCCTAGTAAGATTCCTAGGAGTTTTCCTGTTCAGGTTCATTGATATCCAACACAAGAGCCAAAAGTTTCTACAGAAACATAGGTTCAGGACTGGTACACAAAGAATGAATTTAACGCAGACAGCAAAAGAAAGAAAACAATCTTTTTTCACACAAATCAAGTGAAAAGCTAAAGGAACAAGAGATTAAATTATAGAAATGCCCAACTTATGTGTATATTCTAACAAAAACTGTAGTAAAGTATTCTGCATGTCCATGAATTACACACTTCAACCAATGGTTTACATCAGGGATTCCCAACTGGTGGGCCATAAGATGTGCAGTTATGTGTCACATGGGATGGGACAACTGTGACTGCTCTAAACTAGTGAGTTGTTAACTGCATGTGTAGGCCTTTATTATTGTGTCAAATATCTAAGTGGGTCTTGAAGTGAAAAAAGGTTGAGAAACCCTGGATTACATAGCTTGAACATTTAGCTATGCTCATTACTAGGTATTTATATGTTTAGTAGCTAGTTGTACAGGTTTCTATTTGAATAGTATACCTCCTTAGAGAACCATACAGAAGTGCATACATGCTAAACTCAAGACTTGAGAATAGGGACTGCATGTGTAACCATTTCCTATATAATAATTAGTGTATTTGCATCCTTGAGAATCTGATCAACACAGATTTGGTCAACTACATGCAGAAACTACATAAAAATTTAGAAAAATTCTTTTAACATACCTGATTAAATATATTTATATTACTTATTACTGAAATTATTAATAAGAATGTTTTTGTGAAAATAAAGAAGAGTGTATAATAATATGTCAACTATATTCAGTACAAATGAGTCTTTTTGCCCAATACCAGGGTTCTTCAGACCATTTGGGATATGACAGATTTAATGGTTGAGATGCTAAGAAATTGCAGAAGGGTGAAATTCATAGCTGTTTCAGCTATTACATCAGGTTGGTTGGCATTTCAAAATGTTTGGTAAGATGTTAATGGACCAGAGGATGGTCTTCTGTAGACTGGGGTTCAAACAATGTAGCCAGACTTGAAAATATACTTTTGACAGTTACATTCATACTTTACTACATATTCTAAAAAGTATTAGGAACTTCCAGGACTTACGAGGAACTTGGTATATATTCAGAGCTGGGATGGGAGACAAAGCAACTCTCTCAGTTTGTACACATCTTTCCCCACCAACCTGTCAAAATAAAAAAAAGAAAGAAATACTTTTTTAACCTTTTCACTTTCTTCGTTTTTAATACATACAAAATATCCGTAAGTCATAAAGTAATGCTTAACATTTTAGCTGAGCAAAATTTTATATTTATCTAAATTTTGTAAATGAAGTAAGCATTCCTAAATATTTGAATTTCTATTACTGTAATGAAAAAGATAAGTTACACTGGCTTGCAGTAATAAAAATCTATGTTTAGTGATTTTACTTTGGGCAAAATGTGGGTTATAATTACCATGGGCTGCAGATTGAAAGGTTCAAGCCTGTGATATGCCCCTGTCCTACTTCTTGTTAAGAGTTCTAAATAGCTGTGCTTGAACCCTGAAGTCTCTCATCTAGCCATTTAGTGCATGTGTTTTATAAGGTGCCATTTCAGTTGAAAATACCAAATACTTTTTCACTTTCTCTGGTGTTAACACATATGAATACTTCCCTAAATGATGCCATAACACTTTAGTTCTTTTCAAACTTTACCCGGGCTGTTATACTTCCTTTAATGTTATTTAAAGAAGCAAATATTTCCAAATATCTATTTCCAGTTATATTTCTGAGATTAAAAAAGAAAATATATTGCCCTTATATTCAACAATAAAATGTTTTATAACGCTTTGGCAAATTTGGAAGCACAACACCACCTTAACTTTAGAAATTATTATTTTTCACAGGTTGTGACAATCCTCTTGTAGTGCTGCAGGCAGCCCTCCACATTTGGCCAATGAAGATGCACAGTAAATTCCTGTGAATTGTTTATTAGCACATAAATACTAATTACAAAGAACAATTCATTAAACTGGACCAGTGATATTCACATGATGAGTGGCAAAAATAACCACATTACTGGACACACGTAACATACACTTATTCATTTAAACATTAAATTTAGGCACTGGTGGATTAAAATCCACATGGTAATGCTTGTACATAAACAACCATCCAAGCAATAATACTAACTAAAAAATTCATTATCCAACTTGGCAGTTAAGTATTTATACACCACAGCTCAGCATACATTGGTGTCATATGTTTACAATAAGTTACGTAACTTGAAATCACAAGCCAATTAACAATAAACACCTTGTACCTTCAATATCACATGAGAGTTACATCATAGTTTAAGCTGAGACAAGATGATTGCACAAAATGTAAGAAGTAAACATGAAAGTTGTTATTATTAACTTAAGATTTTTGTGTAATGTAATATGAGTCTAACAATATGATAATATTGTCATGTAATGATTATATGCCAACAGATGCCTGCATCTGAAAGAAGAATAATGCTAACTTAGTTTCTCACAAGGTCTTTAATAACAATTAGATTAATTATTAAAATAACATTATTATAAGAAATAATTGTGTATTCAAATCACTATTCGCAGCTTTGATAATCAAAAAACTTTACACAGAAAATCAAAACATAATACTTACTTGTCTCACTAGAAAGGGGACATCATACGTGTGACTTCTATGTGTTTCACCAGGTGATCGTGCATCAGACAGTTGACTCCCACCGTCACTACCATCATCTTGTGGATAGCCTGGAACTCGAGTCATGGCATAAGGGGATGGGTAGCAAGTTGAATCTCGGGGGCAAAACTGTATTTTTGTACTTAAAGCAGTCATGTTTAAGGCTTCTTTCTGCATCATGTGGGGATCTTAGTTGAAAGATTAAAACAAAATTTGAAATGGTTAGCTTGAAAACAGGTCCATTTTAAATTAAGCTACAGGAGATTTTGAAAAAAAGCTTTAGATAAAAGATGAAAAGCAGTTATGTTTATTGTGTCTGTAATTATGAAAATTAAAAGCAAATACAAAAAATATCTAGCATTCAAAAACAAATATTTGAACTTAGCAACAAGTTTATTATTATAAATGATTGCATAATCAATATAAAGCCTTTTTTTATTTTTAGTTGAAGAAGTACTTATAGATTTCATATACATTAATTAGCACAAAGACTCACCTCCAGCCTCTGCAGGTGATCTCTGGTGATTATTAGGCCTATGTCGTCGAGTATGTAACAGACATATGATCACTGTAACAACCATCACTATAACAACAGCACAAACTACAGGAATAATTAGGGTAAGCCACCTGTACATTTGTGTTTGTGAACTTGTTTGTGCTGGAAGTGGAGGAGAAACTGTTGCTGTAATTATAAATACATATTATATCATGGTCTGTAATGTCTTTCATTGTTGTTATCTATTAATAGCTACATATACACACACACTGTTGTACAGCTGTTATTATACACAAATATATTATTTGAAAACTATTGTTAAAGAAAAAATGTAATAGTTACAGAATTATATAATACACTCACATTTATTATTAGTTCAAAGTTATTAAATAATTCTGTTACACAAATACATTGTTAACTAACTGTGCTCAAATTGTCTTGTAAAAATGTACAGTAAAATGAATCTTTAAAATAACCAAATGTACTGAGTTACAACTAATTAATTCTTTAAAATATTTTATTTTTCATCATTTGATGATGCTTGAAAAGGAGTTTCTATCCTGTATATTGTTTAGAAGATTTTATTTGTTTAAACCTAAGTATTTTTGCTTCTCTTAGAAGAAATTTTCAGTAAGGCAAAAACTAAAATATGTCACTGTTAAGTGAGTGAATGCTTTCTACTCTTTCTTTTTTCTTCTTACATTTACTAAAGGTTTAACAAAAACATTATATTCATAACAGGAAACTGATATTTTGATATAGTCAATGTATGGTAGAACTTTGTTTTATCTAAGACATAATTCTTTCATATGACAAGATATGTACCAGCTCTATCACAAAGTGTAAACATACCTCCCATCTCAGTAAGTGTGGAAAACACATACTCAGCATCAGTGGAACCAGCACTGTTGTGTGCACTCACAAGTAGATTGTACCAGGATCCTGGATTTAAGTTTGGCACACAAAATTCTTGTCTTTGGGGAGAAACATTGTCTGAAACTAGCTGCCACGTTGACTGTCCTTGCACCTTCATCTGGATCACAAAGAAGTCAACAGGGCATCCACTGGTCTTCCAAACGTATAGATGAAGAACTACAAAGGTTGAGTTGATGGTTAAAAAACTGTACTTATCTGGTGCCCTGGGAACTGGAGAAGGAAGAGATGGAAAAACAATTACTGTTGAGAAAGGCTTGTAATGTTTAATCAGCAGTCAAGTTAATCATCGGTGTAAACAAAATTGAATAAACAGATCTATTTTTAAAGATTCTACAAAATCTTTAAAAATAGATCTGTTTATTGAATTTTGTTTACATATAGAAGAATTCAGAGTTTAAGATACAACCCAGATCTACCTGTTCCAGAGGTTTTTACAGAAAGCACTTCACTAGGATTGCTGGAACCAGCTGTATTAGTGGCCATTAAGTAAACCTCGTATTGAGTTCCACATCGAAGATTACTGATGGTGTATGTTGTATTTTTTCCAGGGACCTCAATAACTTTCCATTCATTTTGCACTTCCTTGTAGTAGATGATGTAGCCTAAAAGTGAAACATTTTAGTACTTTAAATCAGTAACCTATCATAGAGGACTATGTTTCTGCAAGAAAGATTACTGAGTCACTAACTATAAACAGTAAGTACAGGTTACAACTAAATACATCAGTTTTGAACTAAGTTACAACCTAGTAACTAACAAAGCTAAGTGTTAAACAGTTGGAGACAGTCACTTGTGATTACCTATCCTAAAACATTCGTTTTTCACTACTCTTTACTCTCTTAGAGCTTTCTGATTGGTTCGTACACTTTCTTATACATACATAATCCTACATTGTTTTTTTTGCAAGTTTTCTTTTAAATCATACAAGTTATCCAGACTTTTAAAAATGATGACATAAGCAAGATGTAAAAATGGACATCTCCAGGTCAAAATTTGCCTTGGAGATTGCTTGGAGTAACAAAGTAAGGAGTATGTGAGATAAGTCTTGGGGTGAAAAGTGGATGTTCTTGAACCACTGTGTTTGTGTAGTGAGTAATCTTAATTTTATGTCATTGTAAGTGTGATAAACATATCACACAGGCCTACAATGGTTTTATTGTCTTAAAATATTTACATGTACTACAGTAATTCCTGTACGCTGAATTCGAAAATGATATCCATTTTTTTCCAACTTGTACAGATTTTTCACAAAAAATCATATGTACTTTTAAGTAAGTGACTCATTTTCATTGAAATCAGGTCACATTTTGTTGTGCTTAAAATTTCGATAACTACTGGCTATAGATTTCTCTAGACCAATCGTGACATGAGAGTCTTATCGATCATTCTAGAACCCAAACATAACAAACACAATGATAAAAAAAATGTTCATTGTGGTAAATGAAATAATAATTTAACCCAAGTAAGAGTTTTTTTTATCCCGATTTGTAAAAAATCCTTACGTGATAGAAAAATATGAATATTATTTTCAAAACCTGCATAGCTGAATTATGGCAAATCTGTTATTAAAACCTAAACAACTTTTATGAAGTTTAAATTTGCAGGCCTGTGTAATTGGCATCAATGGAACCATAATTTTTCATTATTTGCCATATTATGATTCCTGGAAAAATGTCTCCCCATGATAGGTATACCAGTTATTAAATTTATCACCTATTTTCATTACAACTAAAACCACAATATACTACTGAAACTAAAGTATCACCCAATAAGAGATGCACAAAGCACAGTCTATTTAGCTAGTACCTCCTGAAGTATGTTGAGTAAACATGATCCATCACAGAATTTTTAATCATGTCAATCACCCATGACTGATTCTTTAAATATTTCTGCAAGATGATTTACTCAGTAATACAAATTCTTACATTATTTTTAAACTTAACTTATAGTCACTAACTGACTGAAAGATGAAAAGTGAAAAGTCGTGCATGGTTATTGACACGTAATTGTACAAATGACTGAAAGAATGATTAGTGGAAAGTATTAATAACTAGCACTTACTTATAACTGGTGATTGGTTTGTGTCCTCCCAATACAGATGAATAGTTCTAGATGAATCGGAAACTAACTTTAAATCTGGAGCATTAGGAGGATCTACATGTACAGTAAAAATCACAAATATCTTGAGAATGCAAGTTAAACATATTCAAAGTGAGTAAATTAGAGAATAAACCATGAAAGTTAGAGTGCACACAAGGTTATAATTATACTTAAAACTTGACTTAAGTAATTAACTTGCCTCTAGTTTTGTAATAAAGTTTTTCAACATTTTTGAGTGCCAAGTAATTTTGTGACATTGTATCCAGGTTATCATCCATTACAGTATGAGACTACTCGCTAAAATGATTTTCGACATCTGTTTGCAAGTTCATAATGAGATAGCCCCAACACACCTACCTATGTCTTAATTCTGTTTTCAACAATGCCACAATGCAGTCTTTTGTATTTCTTGTTTGTATGTTTAAATACAGTAATATCATGTTTTTGCATGTAGTTTCATCAAACTTTCTGCTGAGCAAGAGCTAACCATATTTCTTTCAGCCATTTTGTTACTGGTGCCTCAGCTTCTCCTGCTAGCATTCCTAAATTTATTCCTTTCACCCCCAGGCTTCTTTTCTTCTTATGAAAACCGTGGACTGAAAAGGATGGTGTTCATGTGTTTCTACCTCTTCCTGTCTCACCCTCTCTGAATTATTCTGACCTGAATCATTATTATGTCTCAATTCACTGCTTAATTGTTATTTAACCATTTGAAAAACATTTCTTTATCTGTTCATTCTTTACAGTTCTCCCCATCTAGGTAATCTCTGTTTTGTCATCCTACAAATTGACTTACGCAGCATTGTCAAAGAGTTTATTTACTTGTTAGTATTATTTTGGAATGCAAATGAGCATCACATCTTATCCGCTCCAGTGTATAACTGTTTCTCTGGACACTACAGCTCATTATCTTTTGTGGGAGATCCTGTATGTTGATAGGAAAAATACACCTACTCTTTATTTTAAAGATAAACCTCTGACCTACTAATATACTAAGAAAACTTTTCATATGACCATCAATAGAAAAAGTATCCATTATTTCTGTTTGAATTTAATTAAATGGTTACTTAACTATTGTCTTGAGACCTAAAAGAAAAATGTGGACTAGTTAAGATCTGGAAGTATTCTTGAGGCACTTACCTCAGTTAGTTTATGGTCTGGCTTTTCTGGTTCCTAAGCTGTTAAACATTTACATTGGAGAGAAATGCATGTTATTCACATGTGTGTCATTCACCCAACATTTTGTCATAAGCTTTTAGATTCTATATGCAGTTTATTTCTGGGGACTAATAATGGGGGTTTTGGCTAGTTGTTAATCATTCTTTCCATATGTGAGAAAGATGTTTTTTACTGTTTATTCCAAAACCTAGCCCATTTCAGTGTGAATATTGTATCTAGTTTAGTTTGAGAAACTTCTCCAGCTATTGGCCTTTATAACATATTCCTTCATAATCATAATGATATCAGCCTAAACCCAATTTTTTATACCGTCATTCAAACCTAGACCAAACTTGATAAAATGGAGATGGAGAGTACATTTAGAAGATAATTTTAATTCCAAAAATATTAACTCTCAATAGGCTTATTAGCTTCCAAACATGCATTTGATTATTGATTAATCTCTTGTGAATGCAACTTGACATGAGGTCGTAAAATAGTTGATGGGTGATATGCTTAGCGCAAAAATCAAAATGTCGGAGAAAACATTAGTGTCTGTTTGAAATTGATTTTAATGTTCGGAAAGGATAGTAGCAAAAATAAATACCCTAAATACATAAGTAGAATAATAAGTAAATTAAAAATCATGTGCACAATTTTATATTGAAGTAGAAAAACAATATTTTCAAAAGCAGAAATTGAAATCATTATGTTAACTGCAACAATAAATGTTATATAGAAAATCAGTGTTTATGTTGTTACTTTTATTGTTTACAAAAACTCTGTATTATATTATTTACACCAAAACTTACCATATTCTAAAGTTTGTCTAAGTACTTCGTTTGATAAAGGCCCTCGTCCAGCACTGTTATAGGCCTGAATGTGGATGACATACTTGGTGAAACGTCTTAGATTGGTTAGGGTGTACATCTGTTTTTCTTCTCCAGTTGCCTCCACAGTTTTGTAGGTGAAACCATTATTGGATGTCCAGATCTTATAACCAATATAGTATCCTTCCACTGTATTTGATGTGGGTGGCTAAAAAATATAAACAATTTTGGTGCTTGTTTGTTTTTCAAATTTAAAATACGTTGATCATACTTTGCACACTTTCATCTGATTTGTTCAAATAGTTTTAGAATGACTGCTCTTTACTTATTATTAATTTAATTTAACTCAGTTACAGGTCCCATTCATTATTAGTAAGTTTCTCTGATTTTTTGTTTTTCCTAAATTGCATATTTGAATTTAATTATTTTGCTAAATATATTTTTTGGTTACTACTTCAACTATTATTGTTTAATAAACTGAAATGGCTAAAATATTCAACTTCACAACTCAATATGAGTAGCATGTATTTACAATTCTTTGGTATATGTAGCAATAAAACAGAACAAACAACACTACAAATAGCATTAACATTTCTCCAGCAATAAGTGCTGAACCCAAAGAGTTTCAATTTCTTAACAAGATATACAGATGATAGTAAAGCTTATATCTAAGTAAGGGTCAATAGCAAGATTGACATACAAGATAACTCAATATTTCCTCCAAATAATGTTTATGACCAAGCCTTTTTTGACCTACAAATAAACTAAAATCCAAAATTTATAAAGGATAATTCATGTAGCTGTTCTTACCTCATCTATGTTGCTCTATAGCTACTGATCAGCAATATATATATATAGAAAGATGAACTTTGATCTCAAAATGTATTATATGTTAAAGAGTATTCTGCCTTAGATTTGGTAACCCTACTCTTAGCCATATGCTACCTAGTGGCTCAGCAGTAAGCTTGGGGACTTAAAGCACCAAAGTTCAGGATTAATTCCACATTGTGGGCACAGGACACAAATCATATTGTGCAGCTTTGAAATTCTAAGTAAAGTAAGTAAGTGTTTTACAAGTTCCATTATTTTTTGTACTAATTGACAGTTCAATTTGAAAAGTGCATGAAGAGATACCATGAACTTGTAGAAAAATTTATATTCTATAGAATTTGATGCCAGATCCTTGAAAAATGAGTACATTTACTTCTTTTAAGAGAACTCCACCACTGGCAGTATGCTTAGACATACATAGACAAAGAAACAAACATATGTCAGTGAAAACTCTACTGGTAGCATTACTATAAACACACAGGGAGGAATACTGTAGTAATCAGTAAGATTTAATTAATTGTCATGAGCAAATAAGATTAAAAAGCAGAGCATGAAATAAACAAAATTTTAGAAGGAATTAAAAAGGATATGAAATTTACCTTCCATGTAATGTGCAGTGAGTGAGAGCTTGTTGGTTCTACTCGTATGTCATTAACTGGTGTTGTAGGAGCTGCAAAAAACATATTCAATGTAAATGTACATTTTTGATCAGAAAAGAAGATGGATTGTGTTTTATTGAATAATGAATTACTGTATTTCTTACCTAAAAAAAATATTTTAACCCTAAAAGTTGAGCATGCAGAAAATGTCATGTTTTATTGGCAACTTTGAACAAGAGAAAATCTACTAGACCAACTGCTGATGTAAAACTTTATATAAGTTTGGGGTTTAACACATACTGCTTTGAAAAATGTAATAAAACTGAAAATGTTGTTTTAGTGTTGATGAAAAGTCTTTCCAAAGCAAGGCTACTTTTACTTAGATCCATTCCATTTTAGCCTTGATTAACACTGTAAGAATAATTTTTAAACATGTTCATGACACCTAGAACACTCTGCTCACTTAGTAAAAACAACAATAAATGTTCTTGATCTATTTCTTATGATTTTTGTTGGTTGACGTCTGATTAGTCATATTTAAGTGTGTCAATCACTGAACAATCTATGACAGTGAAAGCGGTTACAATGAGAAGAATAAAGTATCTTATTCCTTCTGTTTCAAAGTTTTATTGTCCTCTTTTAATTGGATTCTAACATTTTTGAATGCTGTATCTTTCTGGTCATTTTATCGCCAACAGGAACCACATTGTGACTACATCAATAATGCTTGCATTTCATGCACACACAGACCCTCTCAGAGGTTCAGAGAGGCCCGGGCCACTTCTATCTTTTGAGGGCCCTGGCAATAATAAAAATAAAAAATGATGACAGATGAAAACAAAATAAGACAATTATTAGCCCCCAAAAAAAGTGAAACATAATTTGAATATTTAATTTGCAGCTTTAAGCTGAGAATGTGTTACATTTTGGTGTGATTGGGAGGCACATAAAACAAGTCATGAAACTCAACAAATACAAAAACAATAACAAGTGTCTAAACTTAAGGCCCAAGCCAAATGGCCCTCCTGGCCTTCCTCTAATTAGTCCTGTGCACAAACCTTCCAACCTTGTACTTCAAACTGAGATTAGGATAAAAATGGCTTTCAAACAAGTCTTCTATAGGTAAATTAATTTCCAAAAGACAATGCACTTTTATCAAAATCTTGACACACACATGAAGGAAAAAAAACACTGTCAAATTATGATTTCTTTGCAAGAAGTGAACAGATAGACACAAAAGTTACATTGCTCAAAAGCTCTAATAACAAAATTATCATTAAAAAGCAATTTTATTGCTTGCCAGATATTTTGTTGAAGAAAACAGTCAATACTTTCTGTATGATTGATTCCCAATTTTAGAGTTGAATTCTAGATAAACTTCTTAATAAGCTGAGAAATGTTTTCTTTAAGATTTTATGTATTGCTACTTACAATATAGTACCAAACAGTTTAATATTCTCTAAGAATTTGTTTAATTTAGAGCATTTAATCCATTTATAATACCAATTTACCTGCTTTTTCAGTAGTAAAGGCTAAGACTTTACTCGGTGGCCCATGTCCAAGGGAATTCTCAGCCAAGATTCTAATTTTGTAAGACATCTGAGGAGATAATCCTCCTACAGTAGCTTCAGTTTTCATGTTTGAAACAGACAAAACTGATTGTTTTCTTGTCCATTCCTCTTGTAAGAAAAACAAAATTCTTCATATTCAGTAATGTACTAATAGAGCAACATATTCTGGTTATGGTGTGAACCAGATTCAGTGTCTCATATTTTGAATGAGACCAGAAACAAAAGTTCCATAGATTGTCGTGTTTAAATTACTTTAAGGTGTTTCAAGCAGTCATGTTGAACTGTATATAATTTTCCATAAACCTAATTTTAAAATATAGAATACACAATTTTCTAGCATTATGCAAAATCTTTCCATCTAACACAGAAGTCTAGATATAATGTTTTACATCACCCTGCAGTGTGACTAAAAGGCACTAGAAAGTTAACTGGATGAGTTTTACAATACATATCTTACTTCATGTTTCATCACTTGCAGCATTGAAAATTTATGTACATTATATAGAAATAAGATTATGTTGTACTTTATTTTATCTTTTTTGGTTTTGGTTAGATGTAGCATGCATATATATATATATATATTTGTTTATGGTAATTTTTGCTTCTACTTTGAATAAAAAAAATATAAAACTTAAAATTTTTCCTTTTGTGATTATTCCATTACATAATTAATTAATTAAATGAGATGTTACTTTTAGAAGCTAACAAAAAGACATATTATGATATATATTTTCACCTGTGTCTGTTGTGTACTGAACAATATACTTTTTAAGTGGTAAGTTGCCACTATATGGTTGTTGCCAGGCTACTGTAACTGATCGACTTGTTACCTGTATAGCTTTTAAGTCTTGTGGTGCATCAGGTACATCTAAAAAACAAAACAAAATTAAAGGATAGACAATATGCAAGTACTTTTTTACATCAATTGGAAAAATAAAAGTTTTTTAATTAATCAATCTTGTTATTTTTGATGAATCATCTGATTCTTAGTCAATTATGATGACTATCTGTACATTTAGATAGAACAAATATGGTATAATCAGATTTAGTGTTTACATCTAACAGAAAAAAATGCTTGATAGGGAAAAGCACTCGAGGTCTGATTTTATTTTATTTTCTGTTTTACTTAAACATGTATGAGTGCACTCAGAAGATCATTAAGAAACTTCACCAATTATTACTCAAATTGATTATATGATTAATCTGAAAGTAATAAAAAAGTTTAATCATTATCATAGTTAATATTAGTGATACATATCACATTAAGCTGAAGATAATGTTTCACACTCATTCTAATTTGTTCACAACAAATTTCAAATTAGGAATGCGTAAAATTAGTACTCGGATCTTTTTTTGTCTGTGGAAAGTTAATGTCAAATTAATATTGGAATTCATCAGCTGTACTTGACAATAAAATACAAAAACATACCCTGACATGCTTCTCATACATATATGCAGGGCAAGAATTTAATGTTAGAATTTGAATGCTGAAAGCTGGTGAAGTATTGGAAACCAATAGGCCTAATATACTTGATTAAGATCTTTTTTTTTCCTAACATCCATTATAATTTCTCAATTACAAACTTCTGACTTGAAATCCATAATGGATAAATTAAGAGGAATGTGAAAAAACAAATACATAACTTAACTGGTTTAATGTGACTTTTATCATGAATAAAGATAGTTCAGTACATCATATTTAAATGATTTTGAATAAGCAAATCAACAAGTTGCATAAAACCACATCTGATAAAAAGTTGTGGTGGAAGGAAATATATTAGAACTACAGTTTTACATTGCTTGATGTTATGTAAATAGTGTGATCCTACAAAAAATCGATTGCTATTGGGAAGGATATAGTAGCTCTTTCTGATGCAAAATATTCATACACTCAGATCGTAAAGATGTGTTCAGATTGGATATTGAGAATTTCCAACACTGGGATATCCTTTGTAGTTAAAGTCATTGGAAAACAAAGGAATATGGATCAACTTGAGGCATGAGGAGTCCAAAACCATCCAAAAAGGGACCTGCAATAAGTAATACCCCAACTGTGGTAAGTAAAGTGCAGAATTTAGTAACAAGTGGCAAAAGTCATCCATGTGCCCTAGACAACAGTACATATCATGATCAAGAAGGATCTCTGCTTGGAAAAGCAACACAAGCAATACAAGTTGTTTCAATGACATATCCATTCATTCATTGGATATCTCATGCAGCTGAGAATGAAATGAATATTCATGCTATTCTATAATTGTCAAATTGCTGGATGCAGTGTCTAGGGATTTCTGTGGGATCATACTATCAAAGTGGGTGCTAGAAGACTGTCAGTCTCCTTTACTAGATAGATTATGGAAATCAGCAGGGAGAAGTAGTGTATTTTGGGAAGCCTTATTATGGAGTCATTTTTCAATAGAAATTATGCAGCAAGGCTATAGTCAAGTTGCATGGTCATCATATAGAACATGGCCACATGGACTGTTACAAGAGAGTGAAGTTCAAATATTGTTTAATATAGCATTCTTAACATCCTTATTAGGCTCATTGATTTGCACCCTTTTAAAGTTTAAACTGAAACTTTCAAGTTCTTATACTGCATAAATAAAGTTTCATTTGGACTTTTGTCTCATCATCCAACTCAAATGAAAGGTCTCTTGGGCATAGAAGGCAGACTAAAGGTGGACCTAAGATGTTATTTTCAAACACCTATGACGTAAAATCTGTATTAAACAAATGGAGAGGAAACCTTAAAAAAATGAAGTTTAACATAAATTTTTATCACAAATATTATTCATATTGGTGTTCTAACTATAATATCTACATTTACTCTTGAAACAAAGAAAGAGGGGTACATATGTCATCATACCTTGTACTATTACTTGAAAGCTCATTTGGTCTTGTCCATAATTGTTCTCGGCAGAGCACCCAAACAAGGATGTATCCTCTCTCTTAGCTGAGATGATTTTGAAGGTGGACAAAATACTACTGTCCATCACAACCTGAGAGAATGTGTACCTGTAGTGGAAGTTATGTATAGTATTTCAGAAATTATGCAGCTCAGGTTTGACTATTATTTCAAATGGTTAAAAAAGTTTGTGGTTTAGCAAATATCAAACTATAACTGCATGTAAGAAGTGCTGACTCATACCTAATATTTTTCATCTAACATACATATATATATAGCTGAACCTAAAATAATTTTTATTTATACATAGTGTATTAAAAATTAATATGCCAAGTTTTACCTCTAAACTATTCTGTTCTCCAGTTAACATTCTAGCCAAACAATAACATAAACATAAAATGTCCTTATAGAGTTTGGGCAATTGCATAAAATTCTTATTAAAGTAAAAGAATGGCATGCAAACAACTTAAACAATAAAAATAATATAATATAAAATAAAACTATAATTCTTAAACAGTCACTTTTTGAAAAATTAGATGTCAATACATTTAATAACATTTGAATCATTAAGTTACACAATTTTTAGATTAAAGTTGTTGTTGTTGTTATAAAAAACTTTTAATAAAATAAATTGCTTTAAACAATTAAGGTATGGTTGGGGTTTTTTTTATTCAATCTGGCTTTAAGAAAATATAACTACTGTTATAGAATAATGTCAATGGTGCTCTTTAGTAATTTTGATTTTTATACAAAAGTGTCAAATGATCAGCCATATGATTTGATATGCAAGTTTTTACTGTTAGGTAATACATTTGTAAATGCTTATTTGGTACTATAGACTTTGCACTTGAAAAAATAAATGAATCATTAAGCTGTTAGGACAATATTTCTCTATTGGAGTTGGTTCCAGATCATCAACATAGTTTGAAGGTGAATTACATACTGGCAAGCATCTTCTCAGTGTGTTCCATACATATCCATTAGATTCAAATCCACTGAGAATACTGGCCAGTCTATTTGCTCTCTATCCTCTACTTCCAGGAAATTGTTAACCAGGTGAGCATGTTGGGAGTATGATTTGTGTTTGTTTGAAGTTAAGCACAAAGCTACACAATGGGCTATCTGTACTCATGTTGTAAGTCCACAGACACAGCTGTTGTTGTATAGCATTCACAGTTTTAGAGCACATGAAGGTCAATTCAGAACACACAAATACTGATCCCTGCCCAGACCACTATGCAACACCATCATATCTGTCTTTTCTTTATGAAATTTGGGTTGAATCTAGTCTCAGCCACCCACAAGCATTTGTATTGTATTTTATATTTATGAAAAAGCTACAAAGATTATCTGCCACCATCTATAATTTTGAACTACTGACAAGAGGGGGAGGCAGCCAATAAGCAGCACCCTACCACCTATGCAGAGGAATTGCCTGTCACCCTTATAATGCACCCACAGCTTCAAGAGGAGGAGTATGGTATCACATAGGTCCAAACATAGCTTGCTAGCTCTGAAATCCAGAGCTCTATCATGGGGCCAACCTGTTCTCCCCAGATTCATTCACATATTGTTTGATCAATCCACATGTTTTTAACACCAGTAAAGATGGGTTGTTTTATTGTCATAAAGGCCAACCTAATGAATCCTTTCTTTAACTGTTGAGTGCTTACTTGTTGTCCAGTTTCTGCTATGAACTGTTGATTCATAACGTAACATAGCATTTAAGGACAACAAGGAACCTGTTAGTCCATCTAGGCTCTCTCATTTACTAAACTAAATTACTTAGAAAAAAACACCTAATAAGCCAACTACCCTGGTACAAAAAAACAAAACTGTTTTAGCTGAAGATGACTCCTACCTTGCCAAAATTTATATTTTTGCCCCCTAGTCTTACTATTCTTACCATTAAATAAATAATGAGGGAATCCTCGATAGCCACGGCACTTGAAATTATTTTAGGCAGGCTTAGAGTAAGTTAATCTATGAGACCTTACTTTCCTTTTTATTAGCTATATTTTTGTGTGCCACCAATACCAAGCATGGGGCTCATATACTCGATTCAATTTTATTACTCATCAGGATCTCTACCAGTCTATTTTCAAATTGAAATTCTCTTAAGGAAGATTAGGGTCAATTAATCTATGAAGCCTTGGGCATGGTCCAATAAATCAATCAAATGGGTTTGACCTCCTGAGCCCAAAACTGTAATTAGAACTCAAATCGGTCGATAGATGACCTAGCTATGAGCTAAAAGTTCTTGAAAAAAACTCGGAGCCAGTCTAATTCTTCTTTGTACAAGACAAAACAATTTTCTGAGACCTTAAACTATTCTCATATAACAACATTTCCATCCAAGGTATCATCCTAGTACTCCTCCTCTAAACCCTTTCCAATAATTCAATGTCCTTCCTAAGATAAGTAGCTCAAGAATGAATTCAATACTCCAAATATGACCCAAACAGTGACTATGCAATAAATTTATAACCTCTATAGACTTGTATTCAATATTTCTGTAGATACCACCTTAAACTCCTATTTGCCCTACCACTAGCTAGCAACAGCACACTGCTTGAATGGCTTCAGAGATTAATCAACCATAACACCAACATTCTATTTTCCAATAACACTGTTAAGCTTATTCCCATCAAAATTATTCTTAAAATTTATATTATGATAACCCACATGCATTAAGGCCATCTACCATTTATTTGCCTAACTAAATCTCTTTGTAAAGCAGTAGCATCCTCCTCATAGTCAGCTACATTCAATTCCTTAATATCATCAGCAAATTTAAGTAATTTATTGACCATTCCTTCACGTATGTCATTAATGTATATCAAAAAGAGCAAACGTCCTAATACTGAGCCCCAAGGTACCTAAGTTGTGGCATTATTCCAGCTTAATTCCATTTATAACAACCCTCTAATTTCTTCCATCCAGGAAATTTTTATCCAGTGAACCAACTTATCTCTCACACATACTTAGATTTTTTTTTCATTTGGAAAGCTCAGGCTCACCAGTTACATCTAGCTCATTTTTCAAATAGCAGTTGTTTTATGGAGTTGTTGACAATGGTCTACTCTGTCCAGGTCTCTGTGTCATCTGAATAAATCCCGCTAATCACACTTTGTACAACATGTAGCTACTCTGCAAGGGCTTGCTGTGTTTTACCTATTTTTAGTCGAGCTATTGTTCTTCATATCATGGAAATGTCCAAGTGTCGTTTTTGAGGTTCTGGCATGCTCATTATTATTATCCTGGATCTCATTACATTCTCTGTTGTTGGTGAATCTGCTATATAAAAACATGCTGCATTTTCTTCACATATACCTATCACAGAATGCATAATAAACCACACGAATAGCCATCTAACACTTGTTTGCCATAAAAATATCAAAAGTGCCAATGATGATATTTAATAATAGTATCTATGCCTTATTGTAACTAACATACTGAAAACTGGTAATTCCTTAACTATTTTGAGAATTATATTTTTGTACTACATATAGGTACAGTCAGTGGCGTGCAGAGGTTCTATGATGCCCGGGGCCTTGTACCTAAGACCTTGGGGAAGGGCGGAAAAGGTTCTACTATTCGATTCAACTTATTGCGTTGGTGGCCCTGACACCTTTTGCCCCCCCTTCTGCACGCTACTGGGTACAGTTTAAATTCTGTAATATGTTTTTACTATCTAACAGTATTAGGTTATAAAACCTGTCAATTGTTTTTGAATCTGTTTGAGGAATATTGTAATGGTAAAATTAACATAAAAGATTAATGAAATAAAACCTTTGATGTCTGTTCTGTAGATCCAAATGCTGTCCATTTTTGGTCCACTTGATACTCAGTGGTCTATCTCCTAGAACCTCACAACTCAGGTTAACTGCTTTACTTTTCTGTACTGTTACTGACTGGAACTGAGTCTTAATATGGGGTGGTACTAAGAAGGAAACCCAGAACTGCATCATTGGTATAAAAAACTCATATAATTATTCAACTTTTTAGATAACCCACTTGCTAGTTTCTAATTGGTAGTGTTAATGTTATGTTTCATATTAAACTAAAAATCTTTATGTCCATTTGAAAAAATTATATTTATAAAAAAAAAATGGAGATTAAAACTGCAATACACATTATTTAACAGGAAACATCACTTAAGCTTTGTACAAAACTAAAACAATCTTACCATTTTTTAAGTTCGAAATTTCTTCAAAAAGTAATCCCGGAAATCTATCACTTTTATTTTTTGACCACAGACAAGGCCATTGGGAACCATTATGGGCAGTGGATAAAAATAAATATATATATATACTGCTTCCCCTAAATAGTTTTTAGAATGATGTTGCATATGTGTATAAGTGATTGAAGGATTAGTTAACTTTTGCTTAAACACTCTGTACTGATTTGATATACTCCATAAACAAATTTTTGCCACTCTAATGGGTCCTCTGATGGACATCGAGTCCCAGGGAAATACTTTTGGCCTCCCTGCCTTTTTGGTGGGCCTGACCACAGCCAAATACTCAGTCTAAGACTTTAAGTATCTTTCACTAAATTACCTAAATCCTTGTTTTCTCAACAATGTACAAAACACACACAACAAATGAGTCTTATTCAAATGTTTTTTTACATAAATGAATATTATTTACACTTATCAACAACAAAACTAATTTTTCATGTTCTCGCTCAGTCATTAAACTGTCAAAGTATTTTTGAATGACAAAAACCCTTTTAATAGTGTCAGCCTTTCCTAGAATCATAGTTATCAATGGCATATTTAGAAATGTTATAATTTAAAAAGCAGTCTAAATCAGTGTATAATAAATACAATATGACCATATTCTTATCAATTTAACAACCTCATTAACCTGTAGAAAATGTCAGTAAGCAATATTTAATCTTTGCTATAAGGAACATCAATTGAATTGCTCTGATTTCAATCAATCTATGAGATACATATATCTGTCTCATAAACTTTTAGCTTACTTCTTAAACAAATAACTCCTTTTTTTTACTCTATCATCATTCCTCACAGAGGAGATTAAAACATTCTAAATTAATATCTTCATAATCTTGACAACACACAAATCCTGCAATTGTAACAAGTTTTCACAAAAATGTTTATTTATCACTATGTTTTAAATGTAGATGTTTCCATAGGTTTGCATTATTAATAGGCCAGAGGGAGATTTCAAGTATGACCCTTGAGGGACGATAAAGAAAGGCTTGTATCTGATGATTATGAGATGGCTGGGTTATAAAGCTACATGAGGGTTATCTGCACTAACCATCCCCAATTTAGCAGTGAAAGATTAGGGTGAAGGCAGCTAGTCATCACCATCCACAACCAACTCTTGGGATAATCTTTTAACGACGAATAGTGGGATTGACTATCTCCCACAGCTGAAAGAGCGAGCATGTTTGATAGAATGGAGATTCAAACCCGCGACCCTCATATTGCGAGTCGATTGCCCTAACCACCTGGCCATGCAGGGCCCCTGACATATGCAAGGATCTTGCCAACCACACCTCTTCATATACACTGGGTGGTCACAAGTAAATAGACACCTAATTTTTCGTCATTTAACTGATTTATGCTAACTAATTTGTGTTCACAGAGCACTATATAAATGAAAATGGTCCGCACACTAATTATCTTGTGCTACAACATGTCTAGAACTCAAGGTTCTCTCGAATTGTCAGATTTTGTTAGAGGAAGGATAGTTGGTCAAGCAGATGGTGGAATAAGTCATCAGCAAATTTCGCAGAATTTGGGAACCCTGCTTTCGACAGTCAACAGAATCAACGTGCAGTTCAGGAAACACGGCAAAGGAAAACAACTGAGCAGCGTCCGGGTCGTCCTGGTCCATCGGAGAGGACAAAAAGGGCTTTCAAGAGGATCATCGAAATGGATCCCAGATTAACGACTGCAGAAGTGGCCAAAGTTGGTGGGATGAGCCCGAAATTTGTTCAACGGATTCTCCACAGTTTGGGTTATCGTTGCAGAGCAACTGGACGGAAGCCCTTATTAAGACCTGCCAACATGGTTAGACGAAAGAAGTGAGCAAGTGATATGATGACCAAGCCTCTGGACTTTTGGAAGACCGTATTCTTCTCAGACGAATCTAGATTCGCTCAATTTTCGGACAGTGGAAGGATATGGGTCTGGAGAATGCCTCACCAAGAGTTTGGGCTCAACAGATTGCAGCGAACTGTGAAGCATGGTGGTTTCAGCGTGATAGTTTGGGGAGCTGTTTGGGTTGGTGGGAGATCGAG